CCTTCTATCATTGTCTTTGTGTCCACTACTCCTCGAAAATATTCTCACTGATTCTCTTTTGAGCTAGCTCTCTGTTCCTTCTGGAAGGGCAGGGTTCTCTTCCAGGTCGTCTCTTCCTTCTTGGTTCATTGCGTGCTTTCATGCTACTTTCCTCCGCAGTGGGCTCGTTTCGGTCTTCCGTTCGCACCGGGGAGGACTTGGCGCGGGCAATAGCGGGATGAGGGAGGGTGACAAACCAAAGTACACAACAAATCCGACGCTCGAGTACAATTAGTTGACCGTTCTTTGACGACTCTTGGCCCAATCCGCCTCTTCCCGATGCCGTGACAGCAATCGACAGGCTTGTCTGCACGAGGGCGGTTATTGATAGCGGGTACACCCTGGCTTCCCACAGAGTGCTCCACACCCACCCCGACTATCTCGTCGTACTTCCGATCTGGTCAGAGCTTTCCAAGGGCGACCTCCTGCCCTCGCGGCAGGTGACCCGGCAAGCTGGTGCTCCGAAGAACCGTGGCCCCCGGCAGCGTTCCCGATTCCCTGGTCGCAACGACAACTGCCAGCGCGGACGCGGCAACGTAGCCCAAGACGGAGGCGGTCGTGGCGGCGGGCCTGCCGCCGGGGGAGGGGGTGGTCGTGGCGGGGGCGGCAACTCTCGGCCCGTCCCGGTACATGGGATGGGCAGTGTTCGCAGCCACGTGGGAGACCTCAACGTCGGAGGTTCCGCGGGCGAGCGACCTACCGGGAGGTTGTGGGGGGGGCTCGCGGTTCAGCGCTACGGCTCGCAAGACGCTTCCGGCAACGACCACGCAGCGGGGGCGGGGGCCGGGTCATGCTCTATGCTGAGTCAATCCCAAGGCTCCATCGACCTGTCGTAGCTCAAGTGGTTCGACTCGTAGCTCAAGTGGTTTGACTCGTCTTAGGGTTAGGTAACTTGGGCCTTTGAATTTCTTCGTCGCACGTTGTCGGAGTCAAATACGACGCTGTGGTCCGTGAATGGCAGGGAGCAAGTGGTCGAATGTGTGTGCAGCTTTGCGTAAAACTCCCGCGACGGCGGGGCGCGTGTTGTAGCGCCTAATTTCGCGTGCCAGTTTCCAAATGCTACGCACAACAGACAGAGTTGAACAGCGAAATTCGACACTCACGCACGCACATGACTTCGACTTGGCTTGAAAAATGGGTAGAACCGTCGNCTTCGTCGCAAGTTGTCGGATTCAAATACGACGCTGTGGTCCGTGAAGGCAGGGTGCAAGAGGTCGAATGTGTGTGCAGATTTGCGTAAAGCACCCGCGACGGCGGGGCGGG